ATTTTTGAGAAATTCTCATGTATGTAATTTATGAAAAATATTTAAACATTTCTTTACAATAATTTTACTGTTTGACAAAAATTTTACTATTGCATTTATAACATAATTGATGGAATAATTTGTGTGATCGACTAGCAACACTGATAGTAGTCACCATAAATTTAAGAATGATTCTGACCGAGTTGGCGACTCGGGAGCTTTATAGCATATATAGACCGTTTGTGTATCTTTACCCAATCTTTACGAGGTGAGAAAAAATTCCACTATTTTAGCCAGAAAAATAAAGCGAGCGAGACATTGTCATTCGGTTAGATTAGAACTGTGACTGAAACAAAAAGCGAGCGAAGCGAGCCATAAAGCGTGACCATTTAGAGAGATTTCATTAATTCGTAAGGTTAGAATAGAACTGTGACTAAAATAAAATGCGAGCGAAGCGAGCCATAAAGAACACTATCACTATAAATCTGATCAACCAGTTAGATTAGAACTGTGAATAAAACAAAAGGCGAGCGAAGCGAGCCATAAAGAGTGACCATTTAGAGAGACCTGATCGATCGATTATGTTAGCAACGTGTCTAAAACAAAAAGCGAGCGAAGCGAGCCATAAGGAGTAACTTTTAAGAGAGATTTGGTTAATTGGTAGGGTTAGAACTATGACTAAAATAAAATGCGAGCGAAGCGAGCCATAAAGGACACCATCAATAGAGACCTGGTCAATCGGTTAGATTAGATCTGCGAAAAAAACAAAAAGAAAAAGCGAGCGAAGCGAGCCATAATAAATGGAGACCTGGTCAATCGGTTAAGGAACTGTGACCAAATGTGCTTACAAGTGTGCTATTAAGGTCTGAAATTGAAATTTCAAAATTCAAGATGGCGGCTAAGACAGCGACCATTTATCTAGAAAATGTATAATTTTCTAGAAAATGTATCATTTTTACTTTCATCATCATCATCATCATCATCAGCCCTTTTATGTCCCCACTGCAGGGGCTCAGGCCTTCCTTATGGATGGTTAAGGAGGATGGGCCATGACCCTCCACGCTGGCCCAATGCGGATTGGAGGGTATTAACGACTGCAAATGCAGCCGGGACCAACGGCTTAACGTGCCTTCCGAAGCACGGAGTAGCTCGAGATAATAATTTTTTGGTCACCCATCCCGTGACCGACCCTTGTGAAAGTTGCTTTACGACTACGATCACGGGCCGCGGCGCTAATCCACTACGCCACCGAGCTACGCTACATTTTTACTTTATAGAGCTAATATTGGCGTTATTGATAACATTTTTCAGATTACTTACAGAAAAAAAAATTCAGTTGAAGTGTTGCCGGATGATAAAAAACAGTTTTTTTTTGAAACTGTGATTTTTAGGAAATTTTCTATTGAATACGAATAAAAGACTACAAGGCCATGTATACAACATTTATTTTAAGTTTTCTTACGTTTTCCAACTGAATACTTCTTTTTATATTGCGTGTAAACTAGCAATCTTTTTTTTATGTATAATGTTTTGCGTAATTAAAGATCTTTTATTTGAAGATAGACCTTACTAATTTTTTCTAGGCAATTTTATACTGTAAACCCAACATAACAAGAGGCGGTCTTAAAACTCCAATTTCCAAATTTTATTTTTGTTTTGCTTGCGTTTTTCAACTGAATGTTTCTTTTTCTATTTAGTGTAAACTGGCAACCCTTTTTCTTTGACGTATGGAGCTTTGTATACTTAAACATATTTCATTTGAAGATAGAACTCACTAACTTTTTCTAGGCAATTTCAAACTGTAAACATAACAAGAGGCGGACCTAAAATCCCACCGCTCCGAATCCACAAGCGACTCGTTTATGCTCAAGAACTTTACAATAAGTAAAGCAACAAAAACTTCTATAGGTTTATTATGACATATGGGTTAGGTTAGGTTAGTGTATGAAAAACAGCGCACGAGCCGAGCGAGCGTAGCGAGCGTGCCGCGGCAGCGGCCGGCGAAGTGCCAGAAACGAATCGCTTTTTTTGATGGTAACATTTGGTTTATAATGTTTGACTTGACAATTCGGGATCTTTATAGCGTGTATATATGGACCATTTGTGTAGGTATCTTACCCACACTTTCACATAGGTAAGTATGGAGAAAAAAAATTCAATTTTTTGATACCAACGATATTTAATGCGTAAAATATATTTTTCTATACTTTTAGATTATTGAGAAAACATGTTCTTTTGATATTCAAAATGAAAGTGTTCTACGTAGGTATGAGTTTGAAATTTGACATTTCTTTATTTGGTGTATTATTTAAGGTAACACTGGGCGAAATATCTACTCGATCCTTTTTTATACTAAATATAAACTCACTATTGAATAAGAATAAGAGCCTATAATTTATTTAGAGTTTTGCTTGCATTTTTTGACTGAATATTTCTTTTTCTACTAAGCGTAAACTGGCAACCCTTTTTATTTGATGTATGGTGCTTAAACACCTTTCATTTGAAGATAGAACTTACTAACTTTTTGTAGAATTTCATACTGTAAACCCAACATGATAAAAAAACGAAAAATATTAAAATCCGCTTCCGAGGCGGACTTAAAACCCCACCGCTCCGATTCCACCAGCTACTCGTTACCTCCCCGGGCTGCTCGCAGCCCGGGGCAACCAAGCGAAAGCTAGTTTCTATATATAATTTTGTTTTAGGTATTCCCCAAAAAAGTTGCCAATGAGACCTTTGTGCAAGCATAAAAAAAAATTTGAATACCTATCAATTTCAATAAGAGACATTAAAGAATTTTTGATAGCTTTTATAAATTTCATGACAAAAGCAAACAAGATGCTTTCATATTAAAACATTGTTCAGTTAAACAGACTTAACGTCGTCGTCCTACGACTGTTAGTCATAAGCCAAAAAGTTCTCAAATTTCTTATTTTATCTTTAGCGCCACTTTGAAGAAACGTGTTCAAGTTTGACAGATTTTTTTTTGATAGTTCTTCAAATTACCAAATATAGGGTGCAATTAGTATTGATTGAGTATTTTAAAACGGGTGCATTACTTAAAGAGAAAAGAGGTGGTGATCACGTTTCTCACAAGTATGCACCTAAAAAAAATAATACTATAAACTGCTTTAATACATTTCATAAAGTTTTTTAAAAGTACATAAATACTTACTATTATTATTATAAGTTTTGATTTTATTTGAAACTTTTCATTTCATAAATAAAATTATTATCAATTTTGTGTGTTAAACAATAAAAAATAAAATATTACCTACTAAGCTGATTAAAGTATCTAATTTCATACATCTTACTATACACAGCTTTAAATATGGCGTCGTTAGGTGCAATGACAGCAATGTCCCAAAGTAGAAGATTCAAACACAGCAATATCCTAATGTCAAGAACAAAAACAGAAATATCCTTTCATTTTCTCAATATTTTACCATTATCATTTAGTATTTTTATCATCTAATCGCTAGCACATATACATTATAACATCCCTTTTGAAATACAATAGACTTTGTTCAAAAAGACATAGATTAATTTACAAAAAAAAACAAAAATCATTTTTTCTCAAAAACGCCTCGAGTGGAGGTTGCTGTATATGCTTCTATATGATTCATATTCTAATGGAAAGTGACTTCATAGTCTAATTACGTCACATTTCCATAATAATTCTCTGTGTGAAATAAAACAGGGAGAAAAGCAGCCCTAGTTTTGCGAACCATTGACATAGTTTTCGATTTTCACAAGTACTATGTAACAGCCTAAACTGAATTTTAAAATTAATATCAATTTTAATTTATATTAATATCATTTGATGTGTAGATGCATAATGGCACATATGGAAATACTGTACATAAAGAAAACAAGCTGAATTCTGCGCTCCACTTTTTGTCCTGTATTCTAAACCTGAATACGGATGAATAAAGACAATTGAATTTACGAGCAACATATAAATCAAAACATCGTTCCTTTATACGTAACATAAAAATAAGGAAGTATTAAAAAAAAGACAGCACTTAAAGTACCTCCACTATATGGCGACTCTAGCAAAAGTTGATTTTTGTAGGAAACGAATAGACCAAAGACAGTAATTTCCGTTCCTCTTAACTAACATTATTGAAAACTAAAATTTGAAAAGTTCGAAACTTAGTTATCAAGACAAATACGAAAAAGTACAAATAGAATATGACTTGTTTATTGAGTTTTGAACACTAATTTACTTCTAAACTTGAAAGAAACTTTAAACCGGAAAGGTTGTCATGCAGAAATCAAGAAGGTACCGTAGCGACATCTTTATTTGTTTGATTTCGGGAACATTTTTTTTAATACTACTTCATTCCTTTTACTTACGATTGAAATAAATTAAATTTAATTTGAAAGTTACAAATTAAAAGAAACAAGAAACGATGTCATATTTATTAATTATCGTTATTTAATTTACTTTTATTACGTCATAAAGAAAATTCGAATGAATATTACAAACAATTATCCGATAATCGCTAGTGACATCTAGTTTGATTTCAAGAACTAATTTTTGTTTTAAAATATTTTTTCATTACAATACTAACACAAATTTAAAAATATTTTTCATGACAATAATTTTATTTTAAAAATATTTTCTCATTACAAGCGAGCGAACTCGCAAGAAACATTAGTTTGAGATGAAAAGTAGTATACAGATTTTTAATTAATTGATAAAATCATGCCACTTTTAAGAAAATAATAAACACGATTTAATTGATTCACAAATATTTGATAGGAACGTAAGTGTGAAATTTATAGAAATGTAATAAATAAGTAATTCTTTAGCCATGTCCCTAACAAAGGAAATTATTTTAAAATACAAAATTTTATTTAATACAATTTCAATGCCGATATAAAAATCGCCCTATGACAGTCCGCCATCGAAGAATTTGCATTTCAAGTTTAGGCATATATGCTTTTTTCCGCTTCTTTGTCAGTGGTTCGATATTTTAGGATAACTATATACATTTACTCTATGGTTTTCATTTGATATCGGTATGTATTGGTTTCCGATATATCGACATCCCTAAGAATAATATTCTGTGGTTGTCATTGTCGAACGTCAATGTCACACGAAGTTGTCAAATAAAATTGTCTATTCCTTTTCCTGTGTAAATTTGCCCTGAGAGGTTGGTTTCGTGTAGAATATTATCCCTTTTTATCAGGAAAAATAGGAAACATTTGGTGTAATCTAGTCATGCAGTGTAAATTATCAGTGGTCTCGTTATATATATCAGTATATTTCAATCTTTCAGTGAGAAAACTTATTGAACTAAATTATAACCTATATAGAGACTGAATGTAGCCGCTCTGTTTCAGAAGCAAAATGGGTCGTTACTCTCGGGAACCGGATAATCCAGCCAAGTCATGCAAAGCTCGTGGCTCAAACCTTCGTGTTCACTTTAAGGTAATAAACATTGACAGATAATTTCATCGTTTAAATAAATATTCCACATGTACCGATTGTTTACCTACCATTAAGACCAGCTTTTTAGTATCATTTCATAAAAAGCTACCATTCATATATTGAGCTTTATAAATCAAAGAAGCATACATCTATAATTTTGATTAGTTGACCCAATAAATTATTTTAAAATTTGTAATGCATTTTTACAGTGCTTTGAGGTTAATTATAAGACTTATAATTTCAGAACACCTATGAGACTGCGATGGCCATCAGGAAGATGCCTCTGCGCCGAGCAGTCCGATACCTCAAGAACGTTGTAGAGAAAAAGGAATGTATTCCTTTCCGCCGCTTCAATGGCGGTGTTGGCCGATGTGCTCAAGCCAAGCAATTTGGAACAACACAGGGACGCTGGCCTAAGAAATCTGCAGAGTTCCTTCTGCAGTTATTAAGAAATGCAGAATCAAATGCAGATTACAAAGGTCTCGATGTTGACAGGCTTGTCATTGATCATATTCAGGTGAGTTACTTTCGTTTTTCCTATAATTTTCACATTGACTTTATCAATAGACGCAGGCAATTAATATACACTGAACAAAATTCTAAAAGTTTTGGGTTAGATTATAGGAAAGAGTGGTAATAAATCTTTTGCTCTTGTCCTTTAAGTCAAATTTTTATTCACCAGAACAAGTTATATATTTTATGATAAAATAAAGATATTTTAGAAAATTTTAATATGGCATTTCATCTGTTGTTATGAAAAAATGCCAGTGATATAGGTATAAGGATATCTTGTAAGGTTAGTATTGAAACTGGTATTATGAATAGAATTTATATAAATGTGTTTTTCCTTATCAATTTTGTTCAGTTTTAATAGAATTACTTGTTTGGTGTATTAATTTAATATATAAAGATTAAATCTTGTGATCTAAAAATGCCTTTATTTGCTTGACAGTGAGTTGCTTTATGTACACACTGTTTTCTAAAGGCAAAAATAAAAAGTATCATCAGAATCTGAAAATGGGAAAATTATTTTTTTTCTGTTTATTTTGTTACTTACATTTTTATTTTGTATTATTTATGTTGTATCTTTCTCTTTTTTCAACTAGTTCTCTGAGGTCAGTTCTTGCAATTAACTATATTAGTCTATTAATCTCTATAGAATAATTTTTTTTTGTAATTGACAATCCAATAATTTAGTCCACATGAAACGCTAGCAAAGGTCAGAATGTAATGCTGAGCAAACCAAGTTTTGAGTGTTTAGATATTTTATTTGTTTTGAAAATAATACCAAGCTGTGTTACTGATTGTTGCACTAAGCTGCAATTCTTTATTTTATAGGTTCTTTATTTCTTCTAATAGGTTTACATGAAATATATTTAAAAAATATTAAGTTAAAATCTAAAAATAAATTTAATTTCAAAATTTCCTACGATAAACTTTTGCCATGGTGTTGCTATGACATCACACACACACTGAAACAAATATAATTCTTATGTATGAATAAGGTTGCATAAGTAAGAAAAGCGTGGCATATCGCTAGTGTTACCAACCCTACTGTTTTAACAGTAGATTTACTGTTTTCACATTGATGCTTCTGTTTACTGGTTTTCAATTAGCTTACCGCCTATTATCTGAAATAACCAATTGTAACTAATTTGAAGCCACAGAAAGAAAAAAGATATAATTATATAAAGAAAAATTCAGTCTGAAAATTACTAAAAAAAAAAATAATTGAGTATGAAATAGGTAAATAACCTTTTTTATTGTTTCATTTTAATTTTATTGTGTTATGAATATTATAATATAACAATGTAAATCCTGAGAACTAATAAAACAATGTAATTGTTTTAATGGTGAGCTGTCGTTTTCTAGATTTTTTGGGTTTGCAATACATCACTGACAATGAGCATAAAATATTTATTGTGTCATCATTAGTTTAAGCAATATTATAAATACAATAAGCATAAAAATGTGATTATCGGTAATAGTATATTAAACATTACCAGAAAAAAATTATATGTATTTATTTTTGTTTACTGTCTACACCTGTATTTATGTACAGAGTACATCATTTATTGAAATTTAAATTATCTGACTATAATATTCATTATCAGTGAGAATGATGATTTAAACAAGCGTACCTTGTGGTACGCTTGTTTTTTCTACTACAATGTAAGATCTACCATGGATAGAAATTTTTACACATAATAGTTAGAACATTAAGACCATATATTGACATTCTTAATTCTTGAGGTAGACCTGTACCTGACAGTAAAGGATGACAATAGGCTGTTGATGATCATTAGCAATTAAATATCTTCCCACTGTGTCTCTTGCAGGGTAGGCAAGTCTCACAAGGCACAGTTCCTTCATACATCATCTTTAACCTCCTTTACTTTTAGTACTCTTACTTTAAACATGCTTGTGAGTTTTGATTTCTTCCGATATCACCTTCCACTTAAGAACAGTATGCTAAAATAATTGATATGGAAAATCTAAGAATGGTAGAAGAATACCTAAAAACATCTTACTCCATGTTTATTTTATGTAATAATTTCCTTCAAAATGTTATTTTGGAGCGAGGGTCAGATAAAATTAATATTTTTTATGTTCATTAATGTGTTCTAATGGATATTTTCTGCCCTAGGTGAATCGCGCTCCCTGCCTGCGTCGGCGCACATATCGCGCGCACGGCCGTATTAATCCTTATATGTCGTCGCCATGCCACATCGAAGTGTGCTTGAGCGAACGAGAGGATGCTGTCGCAAGGGCAGCCCCCGCTGACGATGCGCCCGCTAAGAAAAAACTGTCAAAGAAGAAGCTCGCTCGCCAGAAAGAGAAGATGATGAGGGAATAGACTTGTAAGGGTTAATAAACAACTTTAAAAACAGTTATAGTATTTTCTTTTGGTAATCGGTTCAACCCAATTCGCAGGAACTATAACTTTCTAATGTTGTTTGTGCCTTAATTGTTACAGATTCTACTAACACAAATGCTATTCAATTTAGTGGTAGTTAACATTTTTTATAATAGAACTGTTTAGTTAGCAGCAAACACGAAGTGACACCCGCAAAACTGAAATTACTTCCGTAACAATCGACTTAGGGTTACGATATTTGTTAACATGTAAAATTGCTCTGGGGCGCGACCGACTTAACTCATGGACGTAGCCGTATTCTTAGACATAGATTATACACTATAACCTACTCTTAATAGGTGTTTCATATGAATTTGTTGATATTGTTTTAAAATTAATCGTTTTTTATTATTTACATATTTAACAATGCCTTTGGTTGTTTTTGTTTACTGAATTATTAAAGTTAACGAAATTTACAAAATGTTTGATAAAATATATAAATTAAAACAAAAAAATAATAAAAGCAGATTCATGAGAAATATCGATAAAGCGTAGGTTATAACTATGGCCATGAGTTAGGCATTTTCGTTAGCGAGTTACTACGCGTTTGCTTTTCAGCTTTGATGTACATTGCTCAGATTCAAAGTAGTTAAAATTATTGTATTATGTAAATCTGAAATAATAAAGGTAATACAACACAAACATATAGTTCCTCTGACCGGGACTGGAATGCGGGACCTTCGAGAAAGTGATATCTTGAAACTGGTTATGGAGATTGACAAAAGTATGTTTAGATTTTATGACGCAGTCATATCTTAGTACCTATTATTCGAAAAATGCTCGAAGTGTCATAAAAACTTACATTGCTTATTTTATTTGAAATATGGGAAATCTTTAGCGGCATATAATATATACCTTTAATTAGTAGGGAATTTAATAATTTTGTAAGCTTATCTAAACATGGAACATAGAAAGTATTTAATCTACAATAATGATAATTTTGTATCATTAGGAGCAATTGTGTAAAGCACCTCCAAATATACGGTTGATATTAAAGAATATACAAACCTTTAATATGGCTTCTCAATCTATATATAGCAGCGGAAATTTCGATAAAAGTTATCAGTTAATTAATATTCCACTACAAAAATATTTAGTAGTGTGTTTAAATTTGTAGCAGAATGAACAAAATAGTAATTTTAGTAAAAAATGCATTTTAACTGGCTCCTCAATTAAGATGCTGCGGCGACTTGTGACGAAATTTGCAACAAATATATAACTATATTTTGTATAAATTTATACTTATTGAACGTATTAACCTTGCCATTAAATTGTATATATAATTATAAAGTTATTAGCTATTTTTTTTATTTTATAACAAATTATTATGAAGGGTGTCCATGAATAAAGTCTATTCAGAAAATCGTATCAAAGCCATTGTACGTACAATAATAGACAAGTCCCACAACGTTTTATCCAACCAACCACTTTATTACAAAATCGTTCTAAGCAAACGCTTACAGCAACATATACATACATATATTTGGTATATAGGTACTTAGAAAACGAAAAAGCGCAGAGTGATAATATTAAATAGATTTTGATTTATCTAAGATTCTTATGCCGTATTTATACAATTGCTGCGTCTTTAGAAAGATAGGTGTTGAATTAACCGACTTGGTTTACATTAGATATCACAAAATTTTTGCGACCTTAGAATTGTTTTGCGAGATTTAAACATTTTTGTGAGTAGGTACATGTAATATTTTGATTCTGTAATATTTTCATTGTGAATTTGCTTGTAACGTGGCTTTAATTTTTGTAAATATAGTTTTGAAGTATTGTTTTAGTTCAATATTTACTAAAAAGTGTACTAATGATATATGCCTATTTACCTCAATTGAAAGATTCAAATCTATATTGCAGCAGAAAAAAATGTGAGTCCGTTTTGTAACCACGAAACAGTATGCAAATATACTCTATCAAACTATCCTTTGAACTAAATGTTTGTATGATGGAGTTTTGAGTAAACGAGGTTCCACAATCAATAATAATTTCAAATAGAACATATAATTCAATAAGAGTTATTGAATTTATCCCTGTAAATAATAACGCAGGTATGGGCCACTATTAATCACTATCCAACGAAGCATGAGATAGATGCTTTATTACGATAATTATGATTTTCAACATAAAATTTGAAAAAGAACCGATCAACCAATATTAATTTATTCTTTAACTTATGTTGACTATTAAATTGGCTGAAACTATGTGGAAATTCGCCATTCATTGTTTTGTTTTTAGATATGTTAATAAAATATTTAAAAAACTAGTAATCCGTTAATGTCTTTAGTTTTTGTTTACTTTGTGATTTCAGATAAGTACAGTCAAGTATTTATTATACACTAGTGGCCGCCAGCGACTTCGTCCGCGTTTTCCATTATTTCTTCGCTCCTAATAGTTGCAGCGTGATGTTATATAGCCTAAAGCCTTCCTTGATAAATGGTCTATTCAACACAAAAATATTTTTTCAATTCGAACCAGTAGTTCCTGAGATTAGCGCGTTCAAACAAACACACTCTTCAGCTTTATAATATTAGTATAAATAACGTCAGGATCAAAGAGCCAGTTAAAATGCGTCTTTTACTAAAATTTTTGTTTTACTATTTAGACAATTCTGCTACAAATTTGAACACACTACTAAATGTTTTCTGTAGTGGAATATAAATTAACGAGGTATTTAAGGGATATTAGTTAAAATTAGATTATGGTAAGCCATAATAGTTATTTAAGATACGAGTACGAACAATAAGGTTTTCCGAATAAGGGCAAAATTGAAAACACGAGCTAGCGAGGGTTTTCATTGGCACGAATTCGAAAACCTTTTACGCTCAAGTTTCTTACAACATTTTTCAATGCTTTTTGCGAGGAAATAAAACAAATATATAGGTTAATAAAACTTAGTATGTATTAAAGGTAAAAATTATTTGTTAAAATTAAACGTGATATATGAACATGTTTTCGTGTCATACATTTTTCTAGGCTCCTTGAAATACTTTTGCCTCTAAAGTTTGACATATTGTTATCAATTTTTTTTTTAATTACTTTGGTGCTCAGCCAAAAAATAAATAAAAAAATACTTTTAAGCACGTGTGCAGTAAAGGATTTAAGTACATTTTTATATAACACGTGTTTAAAGACTCACTTTCGGTGTTTATAATGGATTAAAAAAAATAGCGCTTTATGAGCAACTGCATTGAAAAATATATTAACTCCATATGTGCTTATATAAAATACGACCCTATTTTTGTAGGATATAATTTGTAATTTAGTAAGAGATTATGTAAAATGAAACGATTACCTTCTATGTCAATATATAGAGTATATTTCAATTTGCAAAACATATACACTATTATTATGCAAAAAAGTTAATTGTCACATTAAGCTACCGCAATACGTTTACAATTTGAAAGACGAAAAGCTAGAATGCTCTTAAAACTCCAAAGATACACAAAAAAAGGTTTTAAACTTATACCTAATCTACATGTAATCAACTGGCTTTGCCTTGCCTCTGGATATGGAACTGAAAATGAAAACAAATATATTATTATATCTAAATAAACTGTATAAATAATCATTTTTTTAATTATCAAAAAATACAAAGTACATACAATATTGAGCAAAAAGCTGTTCTCCGATACCTATTCTGAAAGTACTTCAGTTTTCTCTATGAAAGGATAAATAAAAACAGTTGAATCACAATATAGCGTGAAAATGTGTACCTGTAATAGCATACACGTTAAAATAGCCGTTCAACTACATGGTTATGGGTCGATTGACGAAGTAGCTTGACACGGTGTTCAACAATACGGCTAGACATAGCTCAGCCAATTTACTAACGTAAATACAACGTAAAACAGTATGGCGATACATAGGTCAATTAATCACTTAATTAACCTTTATGCATGAGTAATTTAATAATTGGTGTTTCTCTGCGGCTACGGCTGCTGTGCGACTGTCGTGCTAATTAAATGTCTGAATATCAGCCATTTTACTGTGACTAAACGCCCAAGTACGATGTGAAAGCGCTCTTAAACGGCTACATATTTCATTTCAACAATGTATTTGGCAATGTCGAGGCGTGCCTTGGAGAGGCCCTGTATCAAAATTATTTGAGGCCCAAATGAAGAGTAAAAATATTTGCTTACACACGTTAGGGGCCGCTGTATCATTGATATGGCGCTAGCGGTAGCTACGCCCCTGGTATTTGGAAATATTGGTGATACAACGAACATCGAAAATTTAGTTACGAAAGAAAATAACAGAGAAACGAAAAATGGGAGAAGTCTCTAAATAAGAGATGAAACAAATATAGCGCTTTCTAAGAAAATAATCGAAGAAAACTGAAAACTAACCGAGGGGTGTATAGTACATACCTAAAAATGACTTACATAGACAATGATTGCATTACTAAAGTCGGAAGTTTTTAGTAACTAGGTTCACAAATACCATTCAAAGAAATTACTTTCAATATAAACATGAAAAATCAACATATTTAAAAGCATATAAAATGCATACAAATTAAATTCGATTAATTTAAAATTAATCCAAAGACAAAGAGGCAAATATAAAACTAAGACACAATATATAAAATTGTGACACAGCACTGTGTTAAACATTTTTGGTATATCGAGAATATCAATACATTGTAGGCTAAGACCTATTAAAATGGAGACTTGGTAACATGCATGTTTAATGCTATTAAAGTATGGTGAAGTAAGTTGTGGTCTATTTCACGCATAATCACAATTTGCTACTGTCTCAGGTGCAGCAAATTTTATAGATGACACAATAAATACCTCTCTTTTGAAAATTAATAAAAATAATCACTTCTTAAGAAGTAACGACTTATTGTTAGGACTAGAAGATTGCTCAGAATAATCGACGATCGTCGGACGAAGATAAAAAAGGTACTAGATATATTTTGCTAATCCATTCGCAAAGTAGAATAGATTTTATAATGCCCTAGTACTAGAACATTTACACCTACTACTTTTACATACATTTTATTTACTTTAAATAAAGTCGGTAAATAAATGAGTACCTTTATAATCGTCATAATAAAATCAAAATAAGCAGATTCATAATATCAAAAACATTTTTATAAATAATATTTAATTACGAAATACTCCAAGTTGTGCAGATTAATAAAAATGACAACAAAACTTTCACAAACCATCGTTTTTTTAACGAATGCCATTATAAACCAATCATGTGATATTTATTGGAAACCACTAGCAAATTCCTCATATAAATTGCTTGCTTCATAGGTGTAGCTCAGAGAATAAGGTAAGAATGAGCAATTTTCACAGTAAAAAAATCAACCTTTACCTAATCAATTCATTACAAAAATGGTGGTACAGACGGCCGATCTCTCTTAGGTAGAATCCCTAGCTACACAAAAGGCCTGCTTACTTACCAACACAACATCTTGGTAAAAACATCAATTTTTTAATTTAGGCATATAAAACAAATGCCGATCGATGTAAAAAAATAAAATATAAATGTACAGCCAACAGCATGTCAGGTCTGGTATAAGACCTTTAAATGCGTGAGGTAATTTAAAAATAAAAAAGTATGAATAGCACAAAATGCAAGAGGTAAATACTTATGAATAATCCCCAAAATATTGTTTAACTAATAACTTTTAGTTTGGAAAATAAAAAAAAATTGATAAAAATAACATTTACATTGTAATGACGTCAAAACAAAAGGAAAGGACAATTTTATTATAACACAATCTAAAGTAATAATTAAATGAGAGACATTAGTTATATTTATTTTAGTCAATTTAGGTTTCTTTGTGAAAATAATAAAAGTCGTTGCTATTTCAGTCAACCATAACAAATAACAATTGAAAACAACAAAAATTGTGTGCCAAAAAAAATTGATCTTAACACAACCCAACTCAATAAGTAGATTCGTGTTTATTTGTTAACGGTACTGATTGTTGAACGCAATTACGTCACCAAAATGGTGGTCAGCGCATAACCAATTTGCGAGGATTATACGCTTACAAACTTCTCCACTTGATTTTAAACCTTAACACATTAAGGATAGAGATCAAACTAAATTGCGGAAATTTGACATATTGTAGTAACCTGACGAGCAGCCGCGTGTACTTGGTGCAATCGGTCAAGATCACAAAATCAACTTACCTGTTTTTTTTTAATAACGTTATTATATCAAATAATTTTTTAGCTTATCGGTATATCAACAATACAAATAGTATATAAAAAAAGAATAATTTTTGATTTAATTAAGATTGTCGATATATCACTTGATTTTAAAACATATTCTGTGAGTATTGATTTAAAAAAAAATGATACCTAATAAAAGTAAACAAGGAACTCTTATAGTTTCGCCATGACCATCTGTCCATCCGCAGTTTAGCTCAAAAACTTTTGGTACTAGAGAGTTGTAATTTGGCATAATACATGTTAATTACGCCGACAAAGTGGCAAAGTAAAATTAATAAAAATACATTTTTAGGGTATTTACCCTATATGGTAATTGGGGATGATATTGTATTTTGATCGTCTTTCAAAAACATTGAGGGTGTGGGAAGGCCTTTTTTATTTAGTAAACCGTTTGTGACTTATTAAGCTTTTAAAGTTAATTTTCATTAAAGTGTCGCCCCTGCCAACTAAACGGTCATAGGGAAAAATTCAGACATTACGGCTGTAGTACCTGAAACGAAGTTAAAAGGAAAACAACCAAAGTTGGCTTTACAAGTTAACGAGTAATAGTCAAGTAAAACTCGAAAATTTCGAACAATTCCATAGTTTTCTACAACATACCGGTATTTTTACTTTTTTAATGGATAATGAATGGTACGGAACCTTCGTACGCGAGTCCGACTCGCACTTGGCTGGTTATTTATTTCTAAAACTTAATTATTTGAATTAAATCGAGGTTTTAGAGGAGGCATTTGAGTTGGGTAAGTGTATTTTGATTTAGTTTACTAGTTGTATTGTTGATCGAAAATTACATCCTATGTAAGAAGGTCATTATATTAAGGTTTATGCCAACAATGGTCTTCAATTGAAGTTGGCAAAAGTATACTTGGTTCAAATACCAACGTCGAGTTACAAAAAAGGTTTGAAAAAAATAGTGAACACCATCCTTGATACCTAGTGAAGGTCATCAGTTTGTAAGGCACTAATACTTACAACTTAGTTAAACCAGACTATATTAACTTACCAAGAGCCGTTAGAAGAATTTCACTTCGATTGTCTGCCCGTCCACTTTCGAGCGGTCGAAAATTTCTGTACGATGCATTTAAGAGAATTATTGAAATAACATAACTTTTATTACATAATTTAGGACTATCACTCTTCCTTCAACTAAGAGCTTAGAGTTTATGGCTGTGCCATAAAAAGGCGTAGGTTCGAAACTTGCGCAAGTTGATTTCTACTACACTATTAATTGCAACAATATTTTTCAATTATCTATAATTCTTTAGGAAGCATTTCCTATTTCTGTTAAGAGATCACTAGGACAGCAAGCACGAAATCAAAGGATCTTTATGTAAGAAAAAAATACAGCTATTATATGGACGAAGTGTTTTCTTTTCATATAAAACACTTATTGTGAAAGGTTTGTGAAATTGCAGCAAAGTTGATTTGTGTTATAATTCAAAATCCACATTCTTTGTGCTAAGAATCCATGGTCTCCATAAATATGCATGTCCCCCAGAGTCCGCAGACCACATCTTGGGAAAACGACCATTGGTGTAGCTAGAATTTTTTCCTGGGGGGGTTGTTAATAATAAAGTTATTTTATGTATAAGGGAGGGTATTTTTCTAGGTTGGGTCGGGGCCACCTTACGTACGCCTATGATAGATTCCTTGACCGAGTACCTAACACGTCGGCAAAAAGACTATATCATTACGTGTTCGGGTGTTTGTGGTGCATACATTTCAGACATACATAACACAAGTTTTAGCTTCTAAAGAGAGCTTCGGAGATTGATAAATTATTGAACACCGGCCCTTGCGAAAGATGGTTAACAAATAAATAAATATATATAAATAATTAGTTATTATTATAAACCCAAACCAAATCACTTCAAAAGGATACTGACACAACGGTCGGCGTCTTCATTATGACGGAAGCGTACTATGGCGCGGCCATGTCCAGTTATCTCTGCAAATACAACCTCGCCAATCTCACGCATTTTGTTGTTTAATGCTTGTACTGTCACACTCGGAGGCAACTGAAATAAAAATGGATTGCAACTTACATTAATGCTAATTTTATTAAAACTATAGAAGAACAGCTCGTGAGAAAAAGTGCAAGTTTTGTAATAAGTAATCGATACTTCAGTATGTAGTAGTACTGAGGGTGAATACTGCAGTATCAGTATTCTCAGTGCAATGTAACATGCATTAGAAGTACTTAATAATAATAATAAATTATCGAGACACTTATTAAGGGCAGAGTAGTATTCAATACAACATTTAAAAGATTTGGTTTTAATTTTTTTCAAACTTACATTATTGAAAACTAACATGTCAGATGACGTCATCAGGTTTCTATCCTTATTATCCTCCAACGACTTCCTGTCTCGTCGGTCATCTGAAAAAAAATTTAAAAACCAAATATAAGAAAAGCAAAATAACGAGTTTTAGTAACTAGATCAAAATTATTTATATCGTCTCAAAGGAAACCCTAAATTTTTACGTTTGACTGAGAAACACCTGTGTAAAGCAATAAAGTATCAACAATAAAATTAAAATTAGTATAATAAAATTAATATGAAATTCATACCCATTTGATAACTATCATTATTAGCACTGGAAGTTTGTGAATTTCTATTATTCTGTCCGCTTGATAAAGTTTGACTGAAACCACTCTTGTTGCTCACATTATGAGCTTGCAAAGCAGCTAAAGTCGTCGCTAAATCGTTTCCCATATTCTGCTGCAACAATCCTTGCCACGATTGAACATTTGACTGTCCACCAACAGGCTGGTTCAAAGGTACATTCATTCCAATCATAGATGCTGCTGGGTTCAATGGGTTCATATTCATAGTATTAATATTTAACGGAGTCATTATATTATGTAACGGATTTCCTAATAAACTTGTGCTGTTAGCGTTTATTAAGTTGGCCTGTACTTGTGCCAGTTCGTTTGATTTTGCTGTCTTCAATTCATTCAACTCCTGCGTCAGCAGTTGCTTCAGTGGTTGTATTTCGACTAAGTTTCTTATCCCGTTCAACGGTTCACCGTTTGGACCCAAACCAGGTCCTATTGTTGCGAGACCTTCAGGTAAAGATTGTGTGTGTGGTTGTTGATCCATTTGAACAACCATTGATCTTCCATACAATTCTTGACGATGAAACATAGATATTGCCTAACAAAACATAACCTAAGGTTACACATCATATCCACGCTTTATTTATTTAACAGACACGACTGAAGATTGAAAATGCTTACCTGGACCGCTTCGACAGGATGGTCAAATTCGATTTTAGCGCTTTTTTTCGTTCCAGAGCGAGAGCGAAAAATGTATACATTTGTTACATTACCAGCAAAACCGAAGACTTCTCTTAATTTCTCTTTATCGATATTGTTAACAAGCTAAAAAAAAATTTTTTTAACTTTGTGATAGCAGTAGCATGTAGAAAAAGGTCACAATGGTTAATAACAAAAAAATGAAACCTCAATTTTGATACAGGAGTGGACATTTGTGAGAAGTATTTGGGATATTATAAAAAAATGTTCAATAGTTTGTTGAAATGTCTGACCTACAGGTATCAACCACAAACCCATCCTTATAAGGTACCCCAAGAAATATAAACATAATTATACATAAACATGCTTACACAACAGGTAATCTTCAGAAACGACCCTCCATCAACTAATCGGTAAGATAGAAATGGCCTTCCACAATAAACTCATCTGTTTGGACACTTTCATTGAATTGAAAGCGCCTTCGATAGAAATAACTTCAAACAGTATTGAGGCGGTTCTTAAAGGACATGGAGCTGAGCCACAAGTTATAGACTGGATCGAGAACATGCTACGCAACAGGATAGTACGGGTAGCAGATGAGGACAGTACAGGAGCACTGGTTGCGTGTGGATGCCCGCAATGGGGAGTACTCTCACCGCTACTATGGAACCTGGTGGTCAACGACCTGATTACCCGCCTGATCGCTAGTCACTTCTACACCATAGGGTATGCCGATGACATTACAATATTAAGTCTGGGCACCCACGCTGGTATAACCTGCAAAACCATGCAAATAGCCTTGAAACAAGTCGAACGCTTATGCGAACAATACGACCGACCCAAACGCAACGTAGGCATGTACTACCTTCAGAAGCTATTCGGCACTACAATATACGGCTCAACTCTCCCAACAGTAAACTAAACTGGAACAGTCACATAGAACAAAAAATCAAGACAGCTAGCGTCGTTTTTGGGGCAATATCGCAGAATGATCGGGAAACGCTGGGCACTTGCGCTAAAACTGTTCGTGTGGCTTTACAGTACATTCAAATGCGATGGTAAGTTATGGTGCCATCGTATCGTGGCCAAAAACTACTCAATCTACTTGTAAGAACAAATTATAAGGCTTCCAGAGGCAGGCATACTGCGCCCTGACAAGATGCATGAGCACGGCGCTCACGGCAACTTTGGAGGTAATGTTAAATACTACACTGCTACACATCTACATATATTAGACAGAAAGCGGCAAAGACAGCGTCGAGACTACAAAACTACAAACTAGTAAGGTTTGAGACCGCTAAACATCTCAATGGCTTACTGAAGGAATGGCTCAACACCCCTCTTGTAGAAGTGGCGTATGACAGAATCGAACCCGCCTTCATTTTCGATAAGAAACATAAAACTCATCTTATGGACACGGACAATCCAAAGGTATCTGACAAGGCCCTCAGTCTTCACAGATGGCTCCAAAACCTGATCAGGCATAGGGGCCTTAGTATTCCCTGTCCTCAACATACATCTCTTCTTAACCCTGAGCTCATACAATACAATCTTTCAGGCTGAGTGTATAGCGATTACCATGATGGGGAGAGTGATAACAACAAGGAAGGTTCACAGGATCAGAAATTCGGATCTTTTCAGACAGCAAATCCGTCCTACAGGCTTTCAAAGGCAGCTCTGTCAGATTCAATCTTCTACATGAGTGTCACCAGGTTCTAAACACGTTAGGATCACAGAATATAATTACTATCCAATGAATAAAAGTACACAGTGGATCACGTGGGAATGATGCAGCTTATGAACTGGAACACAGAGAATCAGATGCAACACCAATATGCCCCGAGCCGACAATTATTATATCAGTAAGCTGGCTAATAGGTAATATACAGGACCTCTGAAGTAAACTACACCAACAATACTGGCGCACATTAGAGACCTGCAGGCAGGCCAAACTCATACTACCCCGAGTCAACGCTCGTTTCTCCAAGTCCCTCCTACGGCTAAGTCTAAGCCTTTATTGCGCCTGGTAACAGGTGGTATTACTGGGCATGGCAATTTTAACAGGCACCTTTTCAATCTAGGTGTCACTGACAGCCCCTTGTGCAGAGGATGCATGGAGGCAGAAGAAACAGCCACTCACGTCATTCTGGAACGCAAAGTAGTGGCCAACTACCGGGCAAAGCACCTCGGCTCGCCGTGTAACTTCCAGGAGGCCATCATAGACGTGAAGGCGCTGGGAGTGTTTCTGGTAGAGCTGGATTGGCTGGAGTAGCATTCTCCACAAAATTGCGCCTTTTTGACGTCGATTTGTGGAGACGCCAGTTGAAAGATGAAAAAGAATGTCTGAACTAAAATAAGAACTAAATAATAAATTGTATTATTAAATAATACAAATCGTTCATTCGTATGTTTACTTAAGTTGTTATAACACCGCTTTTATAATTGTAACATTTTGAAAACTTTTACAAGAATATCTACAACCGCTTTGTCTACACCAAACGTCACTTTTCTCCTGTCGACAGTGAGATATTGTATGGCCATCTCGAGATATTTGGGTGTAGACAAAAGGAACTCTATGGCGCATCGGTTAGCGTACTCGACCTGTTATGATACAGTAGTTAAGCAACTTTTGCAAGGGCCGTTCATAGGATTGGTGACCAAAAATTCATTATCTTGATCTCTTCCGTGCTTTGAAAGGCACATTAAGCCGTCGGTCCCGACTTACTAATCCGCACTGGGCCCGCGTGGTAAGATATGACCCGTTTTCCGTATTCGATTCCATCCTTAGGTAAGGTCTGAGTTCTAGCAGTGGTGATATTAATAGGCTGGTAATGATGATGAAAACATTCTCGTGTTCTTCATGTATGCTCTCCTACTATTTACAAATGACAAAAATATGAAAACTATGAGATACTTATCATTTACTTTCTGGAAACTCATTTACATTTAACTTGTAATAATTATAAGTAATATATATACATATGTACATATTATTCAGAAATTTCATATCACTTACATTTCCCACAAAGACTTTATTTATCAAAGGAGGTTTGATCCCAAGGCAAGTTAAAAAGTTCATACTCAAACCATAAGTCTCGTTTGCGTTTTGGTCTGAAGAGAAAGTTGCAGTTGTGATAACTTTCTTCAAAGTGGTAATCTTCGTTTCCTTCCTGTAATCAAATAAAATGAGAAAATCAAAGAAAATTTATGTTTCCGTTCATAGGGTTATTAGCCTGATACAAATACCAACTTTCAGTATGGAGATCAAACATTAAAACATAACAGCTGTTTTTTTATTATGAGGGTATCATATATTTCCTTTTTAATATATGAATTAATCCAACGACATTTTCTTTCGGATTATTAGTAAAAAAATAAAATTCCTTTAATTTCTCAATGGCATGATAAGCAAAATACATATAAAGTGATTTCTACGTATTTTCATGTTGTTACTCATGTAACTTCCATGAAATACATAAATATTCCTAATATTATATTTGGAAACTCATATTTTTATATAACACGGACAATAAATATTTAAAAAATATTTGTAAAAAATTCAATAATATTAACAATGAAATACGACTTCAATCGATATTATTATATTGCGTTAAGTATATTTTGTTTTGAATCCAATAAAAATTTCCATGGGAATATTGCATACCAATAGCCTTATAATTATTTATGAAGCAAAAATATAACACGCAATATATGCAGCAGACTTTTTGAGTTAAACACTACTAAAAATCATTAAAATCCATTTAGAAATACTTTAAATAAAAGTTTTGTGATAATTAACAACTAAAAAAAAGTTTTAAAAAAACTATTTCCTGTAAACTTTTTAGTTGGATTTCAGTAATTTTCATTGTCGCTGTGATAAATAAAACCAAAATATGTGAAAAAGGTCGTGTTAGTAATTTTGCGTGAAGGAGATAAAGGTTTTTTAACTTGATGTTTTTTTATACCTTCCGTAGCTAAATGAGATGGATTTAAGTCTGGCCGTAAATACTTTTAGAATAAAAAATAACTTTTGAATTTTGAATCTGTAATTTTGATATGATTGTTCATTGTCTTCTTATTATCGCACCTATAAAATATTGATATTAAAATGAAGTGGGATGATAAAGAGAACCGCGTCGCTGTGATTGCATTCCATAAAATAGGTATGGAGCAAAATGTCATATGGAGTAAAATTTTTGTATATCGGACTATCGATAGGCACTATGAAACCTCATCTGTTTGTGTCAGAAAAAGATTTGGCCATCCATGTAGTGTTCGTACAAAAAGGCGATCAAAGCAATAAGGGAAAGCATTCGAAGAAATCATGCCCGAAAGCAAAAGATTTTATCTCGGGAAAGGAAGATAGAACCATGCCCTGTATTTTAAAAGATGACTTGCAACTTATAAGAAATGTACTGGTCTTAACAGATAATTTAAAAAAAATAGGGTGGTAAATCAAACAACTACTTAAGCAGTACGCAAAAGGAGGTCACAGAAAGTTTACGGATGATAAAATTTTCACAATTGAGCAATATTTTAACAAACAAAATGACCGTATTTATACTCAAAGCTCTGCAGAAGCTTCACATTAATAAACAGAGTACAACATGGGCATTATCCGACTTCAGTGATGGTTTGGTGGGGTGTTAGCTATGAAGGAGTGACCGAGCTATATTTCTGTAAAAAAAGGCATCGAATCATCGGCACAAGTGTATCAAGATACCACTCTCGAAAGGTAGTTAAGCTACCATGTTTTATAACTAAGAATGGTCCTTTCAGCAAGCCTCAGCGACAGGTCATAAAGCTCAATCCACTAATCTTGGTTAGCAACGAACTAGATAGTCCAGATTTTAATTCGCCGGATTATGATTTAGGGCTAGTTTTAGAGAGCAAGGCTTTCTCTAAACGCTATGATAATTTGGAGCCAAACAATTGGCAGTTAAGAATTTTCCCATGGAACGAGTGCGTGTGTCTACTGATAACTTTTCTCTACATTTAAAGGACTGTATTGCAGACAATGGCCACTTCAAATAAGCTTTAAATAATTTAATAGCTTTATATTAATGTGTTAAACTAACACACTGAAATAGAAATAAATGTAACGTTCAATAAAAAAATGTTGATTTTCTATGTAACAATATTTATGGCAAGACTATCTATAACATGTAGAGACTTACTTGGGTCTTTTGTTGATTTCTGATTTCTTATCTTCATTTTGTTTGTCTGAAAACAAATCAATAATAATTTTCAGTAGTAGTTTCAAACTGTATGTTACGTTCAAAGATCGAAATAGCTCATCGAAATAAAAAATACAAATATGATGAGCGATTTCCTCTTTGAGCGTAGCATATATATATATATATATTAAAAAGCTTTGTTTATACATTGAAGATATATGAAAAATAACTATTACGAAGGGCATTTATAAACGTAATAGAACACAAAACAATGATTTAAAAAAAATGTCTGTTTATCGGTGTGTTTGTGCACGCTAATCTCAAAAACAGCTGAACCGATTTAGATGCAGTTTTTACTATTGCATTGTGGTAATCTTCCGTTAACTTTTAGTGTTTTATTTCAATCGGTTCAATAAAAAAAAATATATGACAATTTGAAGTATTGTATTTGATAGCAAATCAAATAAACTGCTTTATTAAATTTTAGTCTTCAATATATTGATCATAATCATCAGCTTTTATACATCTCTACTGTATGAACCCTACCCCCACATGCCTTTATTTAATAATTTTTGGTCACCCATCCCGTGAATACCCTTGCAAAAATTGCTTAACAACAACAATCGCGTAAAGCGGAGCTTATCCATTGCGCTTCCGAGCTACGTATTGATATTATCTGTAAAAAGATAATTTGTAAGATAATAAAAAAAAATAGGTTTCCGAAAAGCGAAAAGAGCATTGCGCTGCTGTATTTAAGCATCGAGTAGTTCAGTGAACGCACGTATAAGGTTTTCGATGGTAAATTTTTATCAGGTTAGGTTAACGTCCTCGAAGCTAGCGGTCGTCAGTAGCCGGATGGCAAGGATTTACAATGCATGGTCCGGTCTAGGAGATTTTCGATACACCCATGCCTTTCCACCCGCAAGGGGACCAATGGTCCAATACTTGAGTGTCCTGGTGTTTCGGCCACAGCTTCCCGGGTCACATCTCCAACGAGAGGTACCATAGGGGTTTTGGTGGATAAGCCTCCGGGAAACCACTGGGAAGCTCACTGCCGGATGGGTTCAAGGAGGAGACTCCCTTGTTGCTTGCCAGGTAACAGAGACAGTACCAGAAGCATTTCCTCGACGTTAAAAAAGTTAGGCTCACATCTTAGCAGTTACTCTCGACACAAAGATACCTAAATTCAACTGTAAGAATATCTCGAAAAAAGGTCAATCCTCTCTCACTGCAAAACTGCTAAAAGGATGAGATTCATAAGACGATCGTATAACGAGATGTAGGGAATTTCTGGCCAGATTACGCGATACAGAAACTTTAGCTCAGCATGAATACAAACTGAGTTTACACCGTTCTCGAATGAGTGAAGACAACTCGAGCTACATCAATTTAATTTCTTCTAAAAAAATAAAAAGAGTTGCTCTTTTTGTTTAAGTTAAAGTTGGTATTTTCAGTGTTCACTGAGACACAGGTTTATTTATCGATCATGAGGCTCATGTGATATTACGTAAGTCAGAGGTCAATGCAAATATAACGGAGCTCAGTCAAGCGCATGACGGCGTCAGCGTCATTAGGCGTCAATATATGTGAGTATATTATTTTTGCAAGGTCGAATTTAATATCATTAATTATTTCAATCTCTGACGTCCCGCGATCATTAGGACGCAACGTATCTTCCGTCATACATGCACCAACCCTAAGACTTTTATTGACAAAAACACTCCCTTGAGCTCTCAGAATTCGGAAAGAAAGTGATTGGTAATAGGAAACACATGAGGGACGTGAAACGTAATTAATCGCCGATCGCGAGGCTTATACACTATCAAGTTTAATGTGAAGCATTCACTGTCAGGGAAAATATGAGCTCTCATAGATCTCATACAGGAAGCGTTTTGATATCATGGAAACTCCTAAAGACATCTTAACACGTCAAACTGCTAATCGTAACACACATATAATATTGTTCTGAAACATCCTTTGTTAGAGAAATGCACTCAAGTTCTTAAAGGGCTCAGACTTTGCAGTATTGAGAATGAGAAAGATGTTTCAATTATCACTAGCCTGTATTGCTTTCACCCTGTCTGCATCCCAAAAGTGTACCCTCAATACATTGTCACACTCTATAATGAAGTAACTGTTCTAGCCGCGTAAATAATAGCCTATGAAACTCGAGTATGTGTGCTTCCCATAGATGAAAGAATTTTGGTTTCAGAAGCAATTTGATGAAAAAAACAATCAAATTATAGTAATTAAAATTTTGGTATAGATTATAGGAGGTTCAATGGCGTTGTGGGTTAGCGCATTAGGTTTACAATGCGGTTAAGTAAGTAATACTCTTTATTGCACTACAAGATTTCTTGCACTCCTCCATGCTTCAGAATGCAAGTCAAGCCATTGGTAGCGGCTGCAACAGCATAGGTTAACACCCACCAATAAGCATTGGGCCAGTATAGTGGGTTATGGACCATTGATCCTATATGATTCTCCTGATATACTTTCCATAGCTGACAAAGTCGTGGAAACAGCTAGTAACTTTATATGGATGATTATAAAAAAACAAGCAAAAATATTTATGAAAATGGACCTGTTATTGGTGTAACATGAAGTTTCCTTCCATCAGCTTTAGCTCCCTGTAATTCTTTGTAACATATTAAGCAAGGAAGACTGGATGTAAATCTTAATAAGAATTCACCATTTTTTGATGTGGAAACATGTGGTAATTGGGCTTTCACTACCTGTAAAGGATAAGTTAAACTAAAAGAAATTATAACTAAACTAACTCAAAATAATGCTCAATTTTAAGAATAAAGAATTGAGTCTGTAGTTTCTTGCTAAAAGTCTTAGTTAGAGCTCAAGCTCAATTGGTTGTCAGCATTCACAATGCTATACCGATGAATATTCTTTATGAAAAATGCTTAAACAATCCACTTTGTCCCTGGCACTCTCTGGGATGGGACTCAAAACTATGACCTTTACAGAAAAATATATCATAATGTATACAAAATTGATGAAATATAAAAATTAGAACAAATTTTTATTTCTGTAGAAGTAAAAAAGTAACAAGTGCTTGAAAAAAATTTCTCAGTCCTGTTAGGTCCTGGGTAGCTGAGTGGCTATAGCAGTCGCCCAAATTGCAAAAGGTCATGGGTTTGAGTAATATCTCAGAGTGCCAGGGTGCCAGGCAGAGTGCTGGGCATTGTGAATGCAAAATTGATGAAATATAATAATCATTCTGATGTTAATGACCATGAAACTTTAAAACAACATAGAGTTAGAACATGCACATAATCGATAAAACAAATATGTCAGCCAAATAAGTTTGAGAACTGCTGATTGTTGAAGGCAGTAGCAAAGGCAGTTTAATAAGCCAGGCCAGTATTGACCTTGATGAAAAAGAACTATTATTATTGTCTCAGCTATTGACCTCATGTAAATGGTCCTCCATAAATTTTAGGAGCTTACCGGTGATTGACTGTTAAGATTAATGAACTCTCTGAAAGTCTCCCATTTCCAATTATAGGGTGCATTTTTAACTAAAAGTCTCCGGAAATCTTCTTTCGTGTCGTTATCATTCCGTTGTTCTGTATTATTTGGAGGACTATCTGGAATCTCGTAGGACTCGATCTGTGCCCTAGGTGATCGAGAGCGCGTGGATAAAGGTGAACGTGATCTACTCCGTGATCGGGTATCTGAAAGTAATTTCTTTATTTACTGCTAATAGCGAAACTCACGGTATATTTGTTAAAAAGACACATACGTGACATTTTTTTGTAGAAAATTTCAAAAGCAATGCTTCTCCTTCTACTTTTACTAAGGGCTCGTACAATTCTGCCAATGTAAAAAAATACAATGAATTGAATGAAAGATGACGATCAAATCGGTTAAAAGCTAGTAATAAAAGTAAATAGACCTAACAAAAACAAACACCGATACGGTACGTACGGAAACTATCATTAGGGATTTCAATCCATTCGATTTTATCGATAATCTATAGATATGTACTCGATATTTATTTTTTTAAATTAATTTTTGCTACCCAGACTGATCTCAAAACAGATTGACATGAGATTTTTATTATTATCTTTATTGAATTAATTTTCTCGTTTACGTATAAAACAACTGCATAAATAATATTCTTAAGTCGATTATTACCAAGGTTAGTTTATGTTTGAAAAGATTCGTTAAACGATATATATCGACGATATCGATATGTCCAAAAATATCAATATAAAAACAGCGTATTTTCCGTTGAGGAACTATGCTCATATTTTTACTTATTTTTATATGATAAATTTATATCCTTAAATAAACATAAAAAATCATAGAATTAATAAGTACTACGTACAACTGGAATGCTAACTGCGATCTTTTTGACATATCAAAATGAACCTTAATGGTATGGGAATAAAGTGTTTTTTAAATAACCATTATCTACATAGAGAAATGAGCTCAAGTGAGACTTCTTTTTTCTTGGTGTGTCTCTGTCGCACAATTGCCATGTGAAATATTATTGATATAAAGGTGGTAAATTCGTGAAAACTGTTTACACAGAACAAAACGTTTTCTATATGAATATTATATTTGGCTTGTTTATAAATTTACTAATAATATAAATGCAATAGCTTTTAGGTCCAGATAAATCAAAGTTTTTATATTTCACGACATTTCAATATTGTAGGCATGTTTTATTACCTTTACGTTATGCAACACTACCCAAGTAGCACAAAAAGCTGAATAAAGGGTGAATAATGGCATTTCAGATGCTTTAAGCAGCATAAACTTGCCATAAAAAAGAATTTTAAGCACTTAAAATTCCATTACAATGCTGATTTGGGCACAAATTTTAGTGCCTTAGGCTTACGCGGGTGCCAAAAGGCATTAAAATAGCATTGTAATGGAATCAATAAGGTACACAGTGACGATTATAGCCGTATAGTAGTACTAAAAAGGCACCGTAATGGAATTTTAGCATTCTTTAGCCCCTAAAAAAGTCCAACTTCTACCCATTACAATTCTTAAAGCGCAATAGTGTCGTATATGCGGTGTATTTTATAAAGTTCGTATTTTTTTTTACATTCAAAACATTTGTGTGATGTGCAGCAGCAGTGACTGTGATAAAACAGAGGTGCGACGCCATTAACTGTAAGTATTATTAAATTTGTTAATATTGTATTGGGTGTTAGATGGTTAATACGTGAAATAGTCTTGCGGAGGCAAGTTTACTGTTAATGTCCATATATATTTCTATTGAATTTTTTTATGCGCCTCGAATATGATGAGTATTTAGTTAAATATTATATAGAAAAAGTGCCTATGAAAAATTAAATATTTATGTTTTTGGTTGTTATGTCCACAGTTTTATATTTAGGAGACTTATATATATTTTAGAATTGTAAATTGAGCAATAAGTAATAGCTTACATCTATAGTTTACTTATAATATTTACATGAAATATCGTGTTAGGTTAGGTTTGAACGATTTAATGGCGGAGTATTTAAGCAGAATTGTAGTACGTTATAGTTCCATTACAATTCTTTTGGCTATGAAATGAACCTTTAAAATTCCTTTTTTTCTTTTCCAGTCCTAGCTTTCGTTTTCCACGATTTTACCTTTTTTTTCGTAGACGATAGCATTTTGTTGTTTTCAACCACACACGCATACGACGGCGTATTAATTCTATTAAAATTCTTTTACTCTTCAGGACGCTCTAAATTGCCTTCTTTTATTGCCTTCAGAATTATAAAAGAATGACAGTCACCTATTTAAAATGCCAGAATCAAAATAGTGTAACCCATCCATTCTACAGAACCTTTGCCATTTTCTACCTCTCTTTAAGTTCTTTTATAGAACTCAAGGAATTTAAAGTAGCCTAAAGCAGAATAACAGCATTAAAATTGATCCATTACTGTCCCATACACTGACTTTATTCGACTTTAAGCATTAAAATGGTTATTCTTACATCTTTTAAAATTTAGCATCAAAATGGTATGACGAGTGTCTGTTATAGAACCATTGGCATTTTGCGCCTACTCTTACAATTCTTTTACGTTACCTTAGGTATAAAAGTATGCTTTAAGCATTAAAATGGCATTACAATCAGACAGAATTACACTAAATGCATTAAAAAGGCATTTGTTTTCTCCATTATTCAGCTTTTACGCAGCCTTTAGCATACGAAGTTAAAATGAATTCAATTTTACGGCTTTAGGATGTTGGGGAAACCTCTATAAATCTTTTTTAATGCCTATTGCCATAATGAGGTCCACGTATGGATAATTATAATTCCTTCTGTGCTACTTGGGTAGGTAAATTGAAGTATTCACGTGGCAACACAAAAGCAACATGACGTTTTCTTTTTTGTCATATGGACTTGTTTTTAATGCTCTCTGAATTAAAAAAGTACTTTAAATAGTATATTGGATTGAAAAATGGTAAACAATATATGTGCTGTGAGTGGGTATGGGAAAGAATCGTACCTGGCTGTGGATTATCTTTTCACAGGTAAGTATGTCATCAGTAGAAACTAGGGTGACTATACTTTACGTATAGAGATGTAAAGTACGTACGTACTATAAGCATAGACCCTATTTTTGCCTAATTAAGTACTAAATTTAAACTTGTTGTATCACTTAACACTTTGGTTATTCACTATTTGCAAGTCTACCTACATTAAGCAAGCATGTGGAGGCTCATAAATGGATATCCTTTAATAATTTTATTGGTCAGTAGGCTTATCGTTTGATCGATCTTTTGCAAATATCTATTTACTCACCAAACCAAACCAAATTATTACTATAATAAAAAATATACATTTTAATTTAAATTTCCAGTTTGCCAACCGATTTAGAGTTAAAGAAAAAATGGTTGATACCTGGGAACTTACATGAAAGCTGTGTGGTTTGTACACTTCATTTCAAACCCAAAGATTACCGAACAGAGGCTGTAAAAAGGCTGAAATCAGAAGTGATTCCTTCAATCTTGCCAAAGGTACCTACCTAATATTAAAGCACTCATTTATAAACAACATTATATCGAAAATAATAAGTTAAAACAACAATTCATATTATAACTTATTTTTATGTACCCACCTAATTTCATTACAGATTTTTCCAGATAACAAAAAAAATAATGTGTTAAACGCCTTTAGTTATACGCCTGACTAAAGTCCTTCATGTAAGAAGTTAAAACTTGATATTAATACTAGGCAAAAATCAAAAGAAGAGACATGAAGAAGAAGATTAATAATTTAAAGTCATTTTTAGCAGTTTTAAAAGAAAATTGTAATAATTATGAAAAGGTACAATCTGTCATAACAAATTGTTTCCCAAATATTCATCAGCAATTGAACAAAAATAAATCCAACAAAGGCATGAGATTCTCATAATAAGAATGTCAACTTATGGCAAAGGTCTCACATTCAAGGCCATTGGCACATCTCGCGCTACTTTACGCTTTAAATTGCACAAAACAATTTGTTAAGTAATGTTTAATTTTAAAATGTAAACAATACAATCATAATAAAATATACTATTTTGATTGCGTTTTATTATTAGGTCTTCCCCCAGTGGGGGGGGGGGGGAGGTCTGCCTATGAAATTGCTGATTTCCATAGTTTCAAAATTTATTATTGTTGAGTTGAGATTAAATAAGATTTTTTTCTGCTTCATATTAATATTATTCAATTTCAATAATCAATATTTTCTTTTAATGTCCAATGTATTCAGATAAGAATGGTTACACTACTTAGAAAGGGACAAACCAAGATTTATGACCTCTCACTCGGCGCATGTTTAGACGCACAGTAAGCATTCTAGGTGTACGTAGTACTTATTAATTCTATGTAAAAAATATATTGTGACGTCAAAGTACATGACTGGAGATATGACATTTTTTATGACATTAGGGTATTTGACACTATTGAAAATAAGTATGGTCATCTTAGTAGATAATAATCTTATAAAGTTTATTTTTTACAATCTGCAGATAAAATATGTTTAGCTGTCGTAAAATAACGTAAAGAAAACATTATGAATCAACAACAACATTTTTAGAAATATTAAAAACGACGAAAACTGCCTAAAATTAGTAAAAATTTGTAAAATAAAAAGTAGTTCAAATCAAACTAGATGTCACTAGCGATTTTCGAAAAATTGACTATGATATTCATTCAAATTTTGTTTCTGACGTAATTAAAGTAAATCGAGTATCGAAAATTAATAAATATGACATCGTTTCGTGTTTCGCAAAATATCTACTTTCAAATTTATTTTAATTTATTTGATTAGGAAGTTTAAGTTATTTATTATGTTACGTGTTTATTATGTAAGGAACGATGTTTGGTTTATATGTTAACATTAGTGATGAGCCAACTTATTGGTTAATCGGTTTGGAGCGAAGAACAAAAGCGGAGCGCAGAATTCAGCTTGTTCTTTTTTTCCCACTGTGTGACGCAAAGGAGGTTAATGTGTTTATCAGTCTATGTATGTATGTATGTTTGTTTCTATGTGGCGTTCTAGAGACCAAATGCGTAGGCCGATTTTGATGATTGTTACGTTAATCGATTCGTCTTAACTTTGCGAGTATTACTTAAGACCTGACAGTGAACAAAATTCATCACAGCGACAAGCGTCTGGTCATGTCAAAATAAAAAATAAATCGATGAACTATGTCCAGTGGGGTGTCGTTGAATAGGTATTTTAAAATCCTCTTTAGGTTACTTTTATTGTTTTTCATTTTAAATAATAGTTTAGGATATATAGCGATTAAAAGTTGTTTAACAAAACAATCATTCTCGTTAATTTTCTTACTAATTGATTTAAGTTTTTATTTAAAATATAACCGATAGGTATAAAACAAAAAAAAAAAAAAATTGTGAAAAAGCAAGAAGAACAAATAGGTATTTT